CAGGACCCCACACTTGGCCTTGTTGAACCTCATACAGTTGGGCTCCAATCCAGCCTGTCCAGATCCCTCTACAGAGCCTCCGTACCATCAAGCAGATCGACATTCCTCCCCCATTTGGTGTCATCTGCAAACTTACTGAGGGTGCACTCAATTCCTTCATCCATATCATTGATAAAGATACTAAGACTGGCTCCAGAACTGAGCCCTGGGGACCACCACTTGTGACCAGCCACCAACTGGATTTAACTCTGTTCACCACAACTGTCTGGGCTTGGCCTTCCAGCCCAGCAAAGAGTATACCTGTCTAATCCATGAGCCGCCAGCTTCTCTAGGAGAATACTGTGGGAAACAGTGTCAAAGGCTTTACTAAAGTCCATGTAGATAACACCCACAGCCTTTCCCTCATCCACTAGGTGGGTCACCTGGTCATAGAAGGAGATCAGGCTGATCAAGCAGGACCTGCCTTTCATAAATCCATGCTGGCTGGGCCTGATCCTCTGGTTGTCCTGCACATGCCTGGTGAGCGCACTCACAATTAACCGCTCCATAATCTTCCCCGGTACCGAGGTCAGGCTGACAGGTCTGTAGTTCCCCAGATCCTCCTTCCAGCCCTTCTTGTAGATGGGCGTCGCATTTGCCAATCTCCAGTCATCTGGGACCTCCCCTGTTAATCAGGACCACTGATAAATGATGGAGATTTCACTTAACCCTGTGTCTTTAACTTGGCAGACCCTGTTGTCCCATGTGGTCACCCCAGCAAGCCTGGTGCTGGAGGGTGGCTTTCCCCGGCACCCCTCAGCTGCACGGGGCTGCTGCCTCGCTCCTCCACTCTGCAGTCCCCATGCAGGAGCATGCAGCAGGTCCCCAGCCTCACCTGGGGGCTTCAGGGCTATGCCAAGCTGGTACATATGGTCCCCTACCATCAAGAGACTACTACGTGTCAGTGGGTAAAAAAGAAAAAAAAAATTTATTGTGCAATCTGCACTTTTTGTCCCAAACTACACACACACCCTAGACAACATAAATAGAGGGACTGGACCAGCAGTGAGGTTCCCTTGTGATCGGCAGGGTTGGAAGATGCTGGTTCCTCAAAGAAGGGCTACAAGCCCTTGTTTCCATCAACATATACAATGCAGCATAGGTCTAGGCAACATACACATATACATACTCATACAGATTTGTGTTTGTGGGGTGGCATCGGCCATGCACAGCAAAATCACATTATACACAGGGTGTGTTATACCTCAGCACCGACTGCCAGCTGGCCTCAGGCTCTGCAGGGCTCTGGCATCTCCTTTGCCCTCCAGTGGGGCCTCCCCAGGGGCCAAGCGCTGCAAAGCCCCAGCACCACTATGGCACCCGGCCACGGTGACGGGCAAGGAGGCAGAGCGGCTGCTCCCAGGCCAAAGGGATCTCTCAGGCCTGCGGCCTCCTTCCTTCAGCTAGACCACAATGTGGTGGAAGACATTTCTTCAGCCCAACTGCCCTGCGTGGCCCAGGAGGAGCTGCAGGCAGAGGTGCCCCATCCACAAGCCCCTAGCCTCCTGCAGCCCAAAACCAGACTTCAGAGCTTTTCCTCTCAAAATCACCTTTGCGGTGAGGATACACATAAAAGCTCTAAGAAAACTGCCATTTCACAGCTGCTTCCTTACGCTGGCCCAGGGGTCTACAGGCTGGCTAACCTCTCCTGTAATCCATGGGGAAACAATCATAGAGCAGTATCCAAGGACCGCGTGGTTTCCTGCATCCCAGTCCCGCGAAGACATCACTGTCCCAGTAAATAAAGGAGAGCAGTGGCCCTGGACCATATGGAGTGGGCTGCCTGCCTGGGCAGGTCGGTCTGGTCCATGGTGGCTGGGGCGAGACCAGGAAACAAGCGGAAACTGGAGGGGGTCTCGCAGGGAGCTTGACTTCCCGCCAGAGCCCACTGGCCAGCAGCCATGCAGCCCCAGGCATCCAGACCTGCTCCCTCCCAGAGCCTGCACCACAAGCGGGTCTCCTGTGGCTGGGGCTCCTCTGCAAAGTGAGATGGCATTGGGAGGACGAATGCCAAGTGGTTGTCACCTGCAGAAGGTCTTGGGGCCACCTGTCATCCCGGCTCCCTGGCACTGGGCACTAGGGGCTGGGTGAACCTGCTGGCACACTGGGACAGGGTATCTCTGCAAGCACATGATGTAAGCTGGGACATGATCTGGACTGGGGCAGCCAGCCCAGACGTGGGGAACTGTGGGGGATACCTGTGGGACACTCGCCCCAGCACAGTTGACGGGCTTGGGGGCAGGCTGGCCTTTCTGCACCCATGCATGAGGACCCAGGCTGCTAAGCAAGCCCACCCTTGGTCCCCAGCTGAGCATGGCCCCTGGCTGCAGACAGGATGGCGGCACCTTGGCAGGAGAAGCCATGGCAGGACAGGCTGTGCCCCTCCTGGGAATTTGGGAAGAAATGGGGTGTCATGGCTCCCCACACCCCATGCTGGTGCAGCAATGGCTTCTGCCACCCTGGCGCTCCTCCCTCTCCAAAATAATGACCCCAAAATTGGCAAGTGGCACTGAGAGATGTGTTTGGGAGAGCCAGCCCCCACCATGCCCCCATCGTGGCTCTCCTGCTGCTACTCGAAGGACAGCAGGTCGGGATGGGGCCCCTCCACCTCGCGGCCAGGGGTGCATGGCTCTGGCTGCCCTGTGCTCCCAGGCAGCTCATGCTCCAGCCCTGGTCTCCGGGAGGGCTTCTCTGTGCGGGGTGAGGTCTCAGTGGCCCTCTCGCCTGCTCGCCACTGGCTCTCCAGGCTGCCTTTATGAATGAGGTCGGGCACAGGGAGGGCAGAGGCGGGCTGGTCTCCGCTTGGCTCTGGGATGCTGGTCATGCTGGGGACCCCAGGGCATTCTGGAGGGGATGGGTCCCTCGTCCCTGGCCACTCCTCTGCGGGGTTGGGGTGGGCTGTGGGCAGTTCAGGGGGCTCCTCCGTGCTGCTCCTTGGGCTGGTCCCTGCTGGCTGTGGTGCAATGAGCATGTCCTGTGGAGTCTTCAGGGCACGCGGCGTCCGCTTCTTGGTGACAGGGGGCGGGGGGTCCAGGCGGGGGAAGGTGTCCATCCCCAAAGCCCTGCAAACACAGAGGAGCAGTGACATGCAGCCTCACGCAGAGGCCCCTCCAGCCTGTCCCAACAGCCCCACCACAGGGTGCACACCACAGGGACACTCACCCGTCCTCGCTGGCCGGCAGCCCTGTGACCAGCATGGCCCCAGCGCTGGCGTTCACCTCCATCACCCCCACGCTGGGGAGGCCAGCCGGCTCCTTGCGGCGCAGGAGATCATTCACCTTGGCCCCCACAGCCTTGCCCAGGTTGCGGAGGTGCTGGCTGCTGGCAGGGCGGGAGGGCAGGAGGGAGCCCGGCGCAGCAGGGACGTGCTGTGACCGCGGGGTGGGTGCTGTGCTGGCACTGGCGTTCTCAAACATGCTCTGGTCCACTGGAGGGGGAAAGGGAACAGAGAGGGGGGGTGAGCCGGGCTGGAGAGGGGACCCCGGCAGGGACGGCACGTCCCAGAGCTGCCTGCCAGCTCCCAACCCAGCAGCATGGAGAACACAATCTGGGGGACAGGGAGGCCGCTCCTGCAGCCCTGCAGAGGCTGTGAGCAGCCGGGCCATGCCAGGGCTGCACAGGGCAGTGCATGCAGCGAGGACAGCATGGGGCGAGACAGGGTAACAGTGAGCCGAAGGCTCCACGCTGGCACAGCCAACACACCGAGAGCGTCTCTTACCTGGCACCCAGCAACTTGGGAAGCAGGTTGTGGAAAGAAAGAGAGAGAGAGGATTTACCAAGGGAATGGCAAGAGGACAGTGGGCCTGTCCCTTCCACCCTGCTGGGCAAGGTGCACTGCCGACCCCTGCCCAGACCTGCCGCGCTGCCTGCGGAGATGGGACTGAGGTGGGGCCCTTATCAGCCAGGCACCCATGAGACAGCAGGGGTTCTCTAGGGGCACCCACAGCCTGGGCTCCGCACTGCCTGCCCCACCAAGGCTCCCTCTCCAGCCCAAGCTGGCTGTTCCCTTGCATTGGCCATGCTCCCCAGAGATCCCATGGGCTGAGCCCACTGCCCAGGAACATCAGGCTGTGCACCGTATGCAGTGACATCAGCCCTTTGTGAAGTTAGCCGATGATGGCATGGGTACCATGGTGCAGGAACCACGCACTGGCTATGCAAGGGTGATGGAGAGCTTTGTCCTGCCCACCGTTTCCATTGGGGCTGCGCCCCATGGCAGCAGGACAAGAAGCTCGGAGACCCCATACCCCTGGGGCCCTGCCAGGCTGCCTGGTGAGCCTGGCCCCCACCAGCTGTGGCCAAGCAGGGGGTGCAGGCAGCCAGCACTGTCTGTGGGGAGGGCTCCCCCTTGCACCCCCTGGGCACGGCTGCAGCACCGCAAGGGCCTGCGGGCAGACAGGCTGTGGAGGGGTTTAGTTGGGCATATCCTCCTGCGTGGGTGGGAAGAGGGGACCGGGCTTTCTGGGGACCTTGGGGGCCATCCTGCAGCCACACCCCACCTCTGGACTACACCGGTTTCTCCCCCATATCTTCCCAGCAGAAATCCTCAAAGCTGTGGGTGCTGCCCCCAGGAGCACCAGCTCAGCCCCCCCATCGCTGCCCCCGGGGCTAGTGCAGCTCTCCATGGGATGGCTCCAGTGGGCTGCTGGGTGAGCCCTGTGCTGCGCCAGTGCCTCAGTGCCCACCAGCATCCCACACCCACCTCTATCCCTGTGTCCCGTGGGGGGGAGGGATGGTACCCTCCATGATGGGGAGATGTATTGGGACAGAGCCAGTCACCTCTGGATCCCAATGGAGACAGAGAGGAAGGGTCCCCAGCACCACTCCCAACCCTGTAGGGGGCTGTGCTCCTGCAGGGACCCCTGACTCACTGCAGACCCTTTCCTCCGCAGCCTGTGGCCCCGGAGCCCTGCCAGGCAGCGAGCCCTCTGCCTGCACCTGCACCATCTACCGGCCCTGGTTCTCACCCTACAGCTACTTCATGGGCACCAAAGAAGCTTCCCAGCAGCACCTGGACAGCCTCTCCTCCAGCCCGGCCACCAGCACCCGGGAGCCTGAGGAGCCTGATGACCTCTCAGAGATCATCTGCTCCTCCTCTGGCTCCTCGGACAAGCCTCAGCCCCCCGAGAAGGACAACCCAGCCAGCAGTGGAGCCAGCATCACGGTCCGGGACATCCTCGCCGCTTCCCAGTGCCAACCGGTAGCCCAGCATGGCTACCAGTGCATGTCATGCTGCCGCGTCTTCCCCACGCTGTGGTCGGTCAAGACCCACATCCAGCACAGCTCCCAGGAGGGCTACAGCTGCAAGGTGTACTACCGCAGGCTGAAGGCCCTGTGGGAGAAGGAGCACAAGGAGCAGGAGGCTGCAGCCCCCGGCGTGCCTGTGTAGCCCCGCCAGCCGGGCAGCCGCCGCGGGAGGGCACTGCTCCATCGCTCCTGCCAGCGGCAGAATACATTGGTTTAGGAGCAGCCGGCCCTGGCTGCCTGCACACTTCCGTCATCCTTTGAGAGGCTCTTCCTGACTTTTCCTTCCCCAGCAGCCAAAAAATTTCCCGAGCCCCCTTAAGTGCTGCTTAGCATCTCTGCATCTCCATGGGAACCCCACGGCACCCCTGAGCTGTCAGGTCAGCCCTGAGACCAGCCTGCCCTGTGCAGCGGCTGAAGGGGAAGGCTGAAACCCCTCTACCCCCAGCAACACTCGGGTTGCCTCACTCTCACAGGCAGCCCGTGGCTGGCACCGCAAGCAAGGATCCCACAGGAGAGGATGCTTAGCCTGGAGAGGGTCTGTGTAAGGCCAAGGGATGCCACCGTCAGTACTAGCTCCCAGCATGGAGGGGAAGAGAAGTACAGAAAGAGAGAGAGTCAGTGAGAAGGAAGAGACAACAGAAAGCCTTGAGAAATAGAAAGATTTATTTAGCAAAAGCCAGTCGACTAATGACAACACCCAAGGGTTAAGTGCACTTACATTGACAGATTGGTTTCCCAGATAGATTGAGTCAACAGTTAGTAACACGACAGTTGTAAGAAAAGAAAGGACAAAAAATATAGCTATAAAACCCCAGTCAAGGTCCATAACAAAAGTGAGAGGCTAGAGGGGCGTCTTGGAGGCAGCGCTGAGTTAGGAGCAGGATCATTTACACATGTACACCCGCAGCGCGGTGGGACGCTGGCAGGGTCCCATCTGGCTCCAGCAGCGCCCCCTTAGCCCATGGGGCACCCGCTACCATCCCCTGCAGGCAGAGTGCCGGGCAGGAGCCTGAGCCTGCAGCTGGTCCTGACGGGGCACCACCTGGGCTATGCCTGTGCAGCAGGGACGGGCAGGAGCAGTGGCCTGGGGAGATGGCTCAGCCCTGCCTGCTTTCCGAGGCAGCCCGCCCTGGAAGAGACCTCCTACCTGCTGCTGCGCCTCCCAGGCTCTCCCTTCATCTGCCCTGTGCGTATGGCTGAGCTCCTGCTGTCCCCTCTCCCGCACGATCTGTCTGCCCACATGCAAATCCCTCTCCGAGCTCACCCACACATCCCTACCCTGCCTGTGCCACGTCCTGTGCATGCTGCCATCCCCACCTCTCCTCTCTTGGTGGGACCAGCCTCCCACCCCGTGCTTTCACCTCCAACTGCTGCAAGCTGGCAGTGGGGTGTTGGGGTCCCCAGCAAGAGGGGCTGGCATGCAGCTGTGCCCGCAGTGGTGCAGGACAGGGCGTACAGAAGTATTGGTGGCCAGAGGACAGGAGCACCCGGGTTTCAACCAGCACCCGCTCCCACTCTGCCCCCTCTGTGGCTGGTGTGGGGGCTGCCCTGGACACCAGGCCACTGCTGGGGACACTGAAACATGGCCTTCCTTCCCACTAGGACTCTCTTAGCTCCTCACAGCATCCAGCCTCCTCCTGTGGTGGCGGGTGCATAGCACAGCTCATACCAACCCCGGGGGTCTCACCCACCCCTCACTCCTCAGCAGCCCTTAGCCCCAAGGGGACCAGGGCAGAACAAAGCAATGGACCTTCCTCAACAGCTGGGCTAAGCCCCAGAGGAGAGCAAGAGTTCATGCCTGGGAGATGCTCAGCTAAGGGTTAGGTGCAGGCAGATGTAGCAGAGACAGAGCTGGTGAAGGCAAGAGCAGAGGAAAGCAACAAAGCAAAGCAGTAGCAGGATAAGAGGATGGATGGGGAGGAAGACAACTGTGCCATTCCCTGCCTCCTTGAGTTTTTCCACAAGGAGCAGGGGGGACATCAGGACTCTGGCTCACACCTCATCAGCCATGGCATCTTAGAGGCTGCAGCAACAGACCACTGACAAATGTGCTTGCAGAAGAGAGAGAAGCTCTGGATCCCTTGGAGGCTCCCACAGATGCCTCAGGGTCTAGTGAGGGATCCTGAGATCTTGGGTTCACTTTTCTGGAGGGTGCAAACCAAAAGGAGCCCACCTGCAGACACCAGCAGTTTGCTCCCCATCGAGGGGAGGCAAGCATGCCCATCCCTGCACATGGCCAATGCCAGCACTGCATCCCCCAGCCCTGGTCCAGGGGCAAGCAACTGCTTGGAAGTGGAAGGGTTTGTCTATAAAGCAAAGCAGGGAGTTTGTGGTGACGGTGGGTGCAGGGAAGTGCTTGAAAATGTGACTTGAGAGCACCAGAAAGGCTTGGAAACCTGGCAGCCATGTCAAGGAGCCCAAGGACCAATGTGCTTGCAGAAGAGAGAGAAGCTCTGGATCCCTTGGAGGCTCCCACAGATGCCTCAGGGTCTAGTGAGGGATCCTGAGATCTTGGGTTCACTTTTCTGGAGGGTGCAAACCAAAAGGAGCCCACCTGCAGACACCAGCAGTTTGCTCCCCATCGAGGGGAGGCAAGCATGCCCATCCCTGCACATGGCCAATGCCAGCACTGCATCCATCCCCCAGCCCTGGTCCAGGGGCAAGCAACTGCTTGGAAGTGGAAGGGTTTGTCTATAAAGCAAAGCAGGGAGTTTGTGGTGACGGTGGGTGCAGGGAAGTGCTTGAAAATGTGACTTGAGAGCACCAGAAAGGCTTGGAAACCTGGCAGCCATGTCAAGGAGCCCAAGGACCAGGCAACGAGGGAAGGACACCCCACAGCCCCGTGCTGCGTGCCCTGGCGCTCTGCTCCTTGCCGAGCTGTGCCTTCTCCACTCTGCAGCCCAGGAGAGGAGGGGGCAGTGCCCGAGCACCCTCCACCTGCCTCAGGCGGGGACAAACCCTGCCCTGGAAGCGCCACAAGCACAGCTCTCTGCCACGAGCTGCCTGCGCCTGCCCACCCTCTGCGACCTCATCTCACCCCTTCAGCAACTTCCCAGGCTCGTCCCCACCGTCCTTCGCTGCCTCACCTCTCAGCTGCACTCCCACCCTGACAGTGCACTGTCACCAACCCTAACCACCCCACTAGCACAGCCCTGGCCTCATCTCCCGCCCTCTCCACCATGCAGAGAGCCAGACCCCCTGCCAGCAGCTCTGTCCCGGCTCACCGTCCCATGCTGGCTCCTCGGTCACTCTTGTCCCCACTCACTGCCCCGCGCCTGCCCTCTCTCTCCCCAAGCACAAATCTTCATCTGCTTTGCCGTTCCCCCCTGCAGCAGCACCAGCAGCAGTGGCTAATCCAGTAGGGAGTCCCTTGCCCCTGCCTGACCCCAAAGTGGAGCTTGCAGGGGGACGGGGATCAGGGGGTAGCACAAGCAGCTGTCAGCTTGCCGTCCGATGCAAAGCGGGGATGCTCCAGCTCAGCACACAAGCCCATGCACGCTGCAGCACAGCATTGCCCAGCGCACCCCCTCAGCATGGCTCTGTCCTCACCTCCACACACCTCCTGGCCATGTGCTGGAAGCCTCACACCCCCTCTTCTGCCCCCTCTCTCTGGGCTGTCCCATCCCTGCCAGGGCCAGGGGGCTATGGCCAGGGCCCGCCCCAGCTCCGGTGGGTCCCGGCTGCTCAGCACCACCTCCTGCCGACCCCTACACTGCGATCTCGTCCTCCAGGCTGTCACCCAGGTCCTGCCTGGGCTGGACGTGGAGCAGGCGTGGTGGTTCCTCCTGAGACCAGGAGTCACGCTCCTCACTCTCGTCCGTGTTGGACTCGTACTCGGAGGCGATGCCTGACTCGCGGAACTTGATGAGCTCCAGGCTGCCCAGCACCGGCCCCGGGGCAGGCGGCCCCGAGCCTGGCAGAAAGTGGTAGCACTCCAGCTTCGCCAGACAGTTGTTCCTACCTATGGGGCTGCCCAGGGTGCTGGGGAAGCCCGAGCTGGGGCCCAGTGGCGGCGGGGGGGGGTCCTCGGGCTGCGGGGTGGTCGGGTCGCAGAGGACGGGGAGGACGTTGGAGCGGAAGGTGATCTCCAGCAGACTGTCCTGAGAGCCTGCTGCAAGAGAAGGGCATGGCTGAGAGGCAGACAGTGCCACCCCGGCTTGCCTGGGCATCCCCGCTCCCCCACAGCTGGCTGCAGGGTGGCCAGAGGATGACGGTCTGGGGCCATTTGGGTGTCAACCTCCCCCCCACCACTGTTTAGAGGGGGTCACTTGGTGCCACTGGTGCCAAGAGCTGATGCTGGCCAGCAAAGTGCCATTTTTGCAGGATAAAGAGTTACCTGTCTCCCACCCCAGCTCCTTTGAGGAGCTGATGGCCATGTCTGCTGGAGAGGAAGGTCAAGGAGGGGCTCTTGGTCAGGTAAGGAGCTGGCCTAGACCATGCAGCCACTGGGGAGAGTGGACATACAGCTGATGGACGTACGTGACTGCCTGTCCATACAGCCCTCCCTCCCCATGCTCCCTCCTATGCTGCATGCAAGCACCCTGCCGCACACGCACAAGCCAGGCCAGAAGAGCACGAACACTCCCCTGCACAAAACCACTGGAAATGCACAAAAATCCCAGGAGAAACCCCCACACGCACATCCTCCACAGACCCGGCTAGCTGCGAGGGGAGAGGAAGGGGCAGGAGCGCTTACTGGTGGTGTTCCCCGCCAGCTTCAGCTCCAGCTCCTGCACCTGTTTGACCAGGAGTGAGATGTGCTGCAGCAAGTCCTTATTCTGGAGCAGGAGCTGGTGTACGCGAGCCTGGGCCTCCAGCCGCGCCGCCGCCTCAGCGGCCAGCTGGTCCTTCAGCAAGTGGACCTGCGTGACAGGAGAGAGTGGGTGAGCGTGTGGGAGATTGCTGCCCGAGGGCTGAGAGCTTCGACTCCAGCTATCCCTGCTCCTCTATCAGCGCTCACCAGCATCCCACCAAATGATTTGATGAAGAAGCCATTCCCTGCGGGTACCCACAGATGTGACGATGGGAGTGGGGGCAAGCAGCAGCGTCACACCAGGGCACGCTCAGCAAATCCAGCGCATAGTCCCCTGGTCTCTCTGATGGAAAAGCCAGAGGCAAAGGGAGGGAGGCAGTGCTGACCGAACCGTCAGTCACGCACGTGAGCTGTGAATGCATGAGGAAAGGGCAGACCAGGAGGAAGCCAGATGGATGTGGAAGAGAAGACACACTTGACCAACTGGATGGTGCTGTGGGTGCACGAGGGTGCAGCCAGGCGATGCGAGCCAACCCTGTCCGAGCTGTCCTTCTGGGCAGGTTTCCCAGAGAGTGTTTTGCAAAAGGCAGGGTCCCGCCAGCGGCATCTGTCGCTAGCAGGGGCTGGAGCATCAGAGCTGCCCTGGTGCTGCAGGCGGCTCTGGCTGCGACAGGCATGACACGCCTGGAGCAACACAGATGGCAGAGCGCTGCTGAGACACGGTGGCTCTGGGGACATGAGCTGGCTGCTCATTCCTGCCCTGGGAAGCAATGCCTGGACATTAGCTGGTGGGAGTCTACGGGGAAGAAGTCCATTGATTTGGGCATAACGAGCCATACGCAAGTATCTGTGTCACCAGCACCGCGTCCCCGGGAGGGTGGGACGCTGCTGGGCGAGGCCAGCCAGCAGCCCTTGCCCAGGGGTTGGGGGAGCAGCTCTCTGCTCTGAGCTGGAGCAAGGAGAGCCCCAGGAGCATACTCTGGCCAAGGGGACAGCAGTGCAGAGCCACCTGGGAGCCACACCAGCTCAGCAGCCCCACCAGCCACCCACCCGTGGCTCCTACAAGCACTCCTCTCTCCAGCAAGGACTGAGCCAGACAGGCTCATGGGGAACCAGGAAAGCATGGATTTAATGGGAAAAAACCCAACCCAAACCAAAAAACCCAAACTAAAACCAACCAAATAAAACACCCAAAACACCAAAACCACCCCCCACCCCCACCCCCCCAACAAAAAAGGCAGTTTTACCTTGGCCTAGAAGGTGACCTTGGGGAAGAGAGGGGAGCTCTCGGTAGCCTGCCAAACCCCTGAGCTGCTGCTGCAGCTGCAGGGCCCCAAAAGCAGCACATCTGGGGTCCACCTGCCCTCCTGGATGGGTACCAGAAGGCAGCGCCGGTGCTGCCGGCTTTGTCCTGCACTGCCGGACTGCAGCCAGCAAGGCGGCAGGGCAGTGCCCTTGGCAGGGCAGAGTGGAACCACAGCGAGCTGGAGGGGTGGCAGGAGGGGAGGCAAGGGGCTGGGACTTGCTTCGCCACTGCTGTGGGAAGCCAGAGAGCCAGAATCACCTCCTCCTCCTCCTGCCAGCGGTGGGGCAGTGGGGCACAGCAGCGCAGTGGGATGGGGTCCCTCTGCTGAACAACGGTGGGTGAAGCAGAGACCCCGAGCCAAGCTAGCAAAGGTGGAATTGCAATTAAACGCTAAGCAGGTGCCAAAGCTCGGTGCTGGCAGCGTCGGACTGGAAGTCATCCCTCCTCACAGCTGGTGATGCTCAGGTGATGCTGGGAGAAGATGTGAGCAGACCCCAAAGGTCACATCTTGCAGAGGGGCAGTGGCTTGTTCCACCGGCCCCCTGGGGACAGGAAGGACTCCTGGCCTTAATCCAAGAGAAGGAACTTTCACAGGTATCTGGAAATGCCTTGCAAAAGCAAGACTGCAGTCAACAAGGGAACTGAATGGCATTTAATCCTCAGCCAAGCAATTAAAGGCCAAGATAATTACAGGATGGTCCCGGTACCTATAGACCAAGCACAGATGCTGGTCAACACAGTGGATCTCCCGGCTTTGTTAGTAAAGAATCGAGCCTGTGCCCATCACCCCGTGTTCAGAGACAAACTGACTCAGTACTTTTTGAGAGAAGATAACAAGTGCCATTGACAGAGGTGTTGATGTAATGCATTCAGTCATCTGAAAGGCATTTGACATGATAGGGCCCAACTTTTTCATTAATAAAGTGCAGTGATACAAAATCACCACGGCGCGTACTGAAGGGAGAGCAGCTAAGCAACAGCTCCTGGGGAAAGAACCATCCATGGTGGGCAGAGGTCCAGGGCAGGGTGTCAGCCCTTGGAGAGAGGGGGCTGAGGCCACTGGCTGCCACCCCATGAGACAGCCAAGAAATGGCGTTATGCTATTTCAGATGTTTTTTTTATCTGGAAGTAGGAAGAGGAAGAAATTGCCACTGCAAGGCTCTGCAGGTACACAAAGACTGGGAACTACCAAAGGGGAGCAGTCCTGACCACAGACGGACCCGGCTTTGCCTGGCAAGCTTTGCCTGCAGCAACACTATACTTGGGCAGACATAAAGGATCCCCTGAGGATGCAGGTCCCTATTCCAGAGGGGAAAGCAACCTCCTGAGCCCCTGACCCCAGAAGGCGTGCAGGTTCTTGGGGCAGCAGCACGGCCAGAAGGACCAATACTGATTTTCTGATGCATGAAGAGGAAAGCCCTGGGAAAGCACAGAAAGGCTGCTGGAGCCGATTACTCAGGCCAGGAAGAAAGTTGAGCAATTGCGGAGAGCTCTGGGAAGGGTCAGGGAACAAGTAGAGCTAAGGTAATGAGCTGGATAAAGTGGCCAGAGCTGCTTAAATGAGAAATACCTGCATGGAGAACAAGTCTGCAGGGGCTAATGCTGAGGCCAGGCATTTAGAAGAACACAGGGGCCAAGGGACCAAGAAAGCCAGTGGCATGCAGACCTAACGCTAATCCATCCAGGCTTAACGGAGCCATCGCTGGGAGCAAGGGCACAGCGAGCCATGCCAGGAAAGCGTGACAGAGCATGCTGTGCTGTGGAAGACAGGGGACACCGCCCGGCCCGCTCCCACACCCTGGTGTTGGGGCCCACCCCAGCTCAGGTCGGGTCCCGACCCACACCCATCCCCCTCCAGGCAGGGGATGCTCCAGCACCGAGGGGCTCAGCAGCGCACCCCAGCTCTGCCACTGCCCCCAGGGAAGAGCAGAGG